GATAGATCTAGAAGAGAAGATTGTAGCTTAATTGTTAAAGTATTAAAATGAATTTAAGCTGCACTTGAACTGTATTTTTTAAATAAAATATCTGAAGTATTTAATATTGTCTTGATATTTTGTTAAGATATGGTTACTTTGCTTTATATCCAAAAAATTAAGTATGGTGGGTTTTCAACGTTGAAATGACATTGAAACTTCAACGTTGTACCAACGTTGAAGCTGCAACGTTGTATCAACGTTGAAATTTCAACGTTGTTTCAACTTTCAAATCCGAATATAAATCCAACCCTATTTCAACGTTGAAATCTGACCATATTTCAACGTTGAAACAACGTTGATGTGCCTGCTGGGACAGTCACGTAGTTCTGAAGGTAATGTGTTCTAAAGTTTTGGTGCTGCAACTGAAAAACATCGATCACCGTATGTTACAGTTCTGGAATGTGGAACATTCAGTAAAACCGGTCCATGCAAAGACCTTAATTGTCTTTGAGGTATATATACTGTTAACAAGTTTGTAATGTATCGCGGGGCTTCTTCGTGAAGCGCTTTAAAGACGTGTGCGAGGATTTTATAATCTATACGTCGATGTATAGGGAGCCAATGAAGTTCTTTGAGCACTGGCGTGATGCTGACATACCTAGAAGTTTTGGTTATAAGCCGTGCAGTGGTATTTTGAACTATTTGAAGTTTGTTAAGAACTGTCTTTGAAGAGCCATTTAAAAGGGCATTACAATAGTCCAGTCTCGATGTAATTGAATGATTCACCAAGGATTTTGCCGCATCGTCAGTAAGATACTGCCTTATTTGACCAATCTGTCGGATGTGTATATAGCATGCTCGGGAGACACTGTTCACATGAGTATTCATTTCTAGATGAGTATCAAGCATTTCACCTAGGTTTCTAACTTTAATAGACGGCTTGATTACTGATTCCCAAACATTTAGAAAAATATCTTATGCCACAGCAGAATTTCGTTTAGGAACGAATACAAGTAACTCTGTTCTTTCAGCATTAAGTTTCAGCAAATTGGTGTTCATCCAACTGACAAGCTTCGATTTGTTGAAATGTTTTGATTTGGGAGCTGTCATCTTTTAATTTGAATGCCATGTTTAACTGTGAGTCATCAGCATAAAAGTGATTATGTAGCTGATGTTTTCTACAGATCGAACCAACAGGTTTTGTGAACATGACATAATTCTTTGGTCCCAGCACATAACCTTGTGGAACACTATACTTCATTTCCACAGGATCTGAGAGCTCACCATTGATGCACACTGTCAATAAACATATAAATGGATGATACACAAATTTTAGTTTACATTTACGTATTTTCCTATTAGGTTACATATAATGCAAATATTTTTAATGTTAGATGATGCTCGGTTTTTATTAAGTACAAGAAATTTGCTGGTTCAATTTTTCCTTTATACCTATTAAACAGATACATAATGATGTTAAACAAACGTGTGCAAATTACAGATTCAGACAGCGTCCATTCTGTCAATAATAAAAGGATAAAATAAAAAGGCGTTTTGCTGCGCTTTCAAAAATTTACAAAATGAATAATGTTAATTTGATGTGTGAAGACTTCCATGAAATCGCAAGTATATGGATCTAGCTAATGGGCTATTCACCTGATCATCATGCAATAATTGTATAACAAGGTTAGCTTTTAAAAAGCTAGTAGCGACTCGCTTCGTAATTTTTTTCCAGGGGTGTGTTTAAATGTAAAAATGACAGTTCTGTTAGCTTAAGAGACTTCAGCGAACATCAAAATAAAAGTGACATATAAAGTTATGGAAGCCGGTTCTGTCAGATTAACAAAGAGGAATATGAGTTTATATGACGATGCATGTAAACAGATAGAATGAAGTCCCTATGTCTATGCACATTTACTATATGGCCTGTTGACCTTGGCCAAAAAATGTTAGATAGGTAGCATTCATAAAGATGTCTCTTTATACGAAGTTAAGTTGTACGACAGACACAATTCCTTATACAGGAATATATAACTGAAGAACTCTCTTGGTGTGGGCGAATTTAAATTCATTGGGCATGATTAACATTTGATTTGTTCAAGTTCTCAAGGCATTGGTACATACTCAATATTAAAGCTGGAGGCATTGAAGTTTATATCAATAAGACGTAAACATATTTTCCCTAAGCATTTTAATAAAAATTATGTTCACTTCATTTTGGTATGTGAAACATTTTAAACAAATGGATATGATGTAGATACATGAACAAAATTTTAAAGTGGTCAACAAGGCAATACCACATGACAAATATTTAAGGTTTAGGCATTAATAAGGTATAAAGGTGCGCGTATGTGTTTCTATATAAGACGTGTCCTTGACCTCTGTGTAGAACAATATGAACAACTATGAAAGAGGACTCCTGTAGTGGTTAATGTGCAGTCTTCTGGTTTCATAGATATCATTTATTAAAGAGAAACTAAATTACACATTAGGGACAATAGATGAATAGGGATCCCAATTCCTGTTTATACTAACCAGAGCACAACTTGCTCATAGTGAGCATAAAAGGGAATTACAAGTATATTGTTAGAGGGCTTGGTATAATGATCATCTCCTGTACAAAGATTCAACGACAATAATCAACAGAAAATATAGTTTATTCCCTTCCCTTTATATCTTTTACGTTCCCGGATCCCGGGCGTCCCGGATCCCGGGATTTTCCCACAACCCTAAATACCGGAAAGGATAAAATGACCGGAAAAAAAGAACAAAAAACACAGAACCAGATGTACACTTATGTTAATTAACCAAACGAAAACTTACTACAGAGGAAACATGTGAAATCGCTAAATCAAGTCAGTGTAAATATGATTTCTCGAAAAGAAACCATGAAAACAAACATTTTAATCATCATTATATCTTTGCGCTTAAAGCAATACTTGCTGCTTCTCAAAAATGGCGTGAAAATTGAAGGTTTTTTGACGCTATGTAAGATTAAATTTGATTGTCTAAATAATTTTGGATTCCAGCCCTTACAGATAAATTTTGTCGAAGCTGACAGCCAAGCTTCGATTAAATTTTTGGATGGATTTGGAGTTTTAGGTTGTTTCTCAGTAAAATCCTAACGTAATGCTGGCTCGCCGTGGCGAGCCGGCATAATGCACTTGACTACCCTTTCTGTTTAACAGGGGAATAGTGTGAAACGTGTTTACTTAGATAATGTACATTATTTACTAACCATGTCATGATAAACATACTAGTTACATATCTATAAGGAAAATTAGATATCATTGACCCTTACACAATGTATGGAGGAATTTAATATAGATAAAGTTGGCTTGAAAATTGTCGTAAATTTGTAAATTGTAATATTACAAATACCTTTCGAGAGTAAAATATCTCACTGATACAGATAATAAGTCTTGCGGAAGCATTTATTGATTTAACATCAAAGATATTTCTCCTACCGTAATGGCCTATACTGTTAATCCTTAAAGAAATGACAGTCAATAACATATTTCCATACCATAATTTTCTCCACAACAAATCCGATTAAGTGCAAAGTTGCCTTTCAATCATTATGTAAATTAAAATCTTTTGAAATGCAGCGTGTACAACACATGAACAATTTCAGTAAATATCGGAAAAAGCAATAAAATCACTGACACCATTTTCCTCTTATCATCCATATACTTCCGTAAAAAAAGGTCTACCTTTTCGGAGCTATACAGTTAATTGCTCTTTCGCTACTTCTGAGCTTGTGCCGGACGCCAAATAAAACAAATTTAATTGTCAACAAAGGTTTAATGCTGTCTATTCATATAGGTTTGTATGATTAGTAAGTTCTGCATTTAATATAGAAAATTGAAGAATGCTATACGATATAGACTTGAATTAATTTTCAGGACGTTCAAATTAAATATCATAATTTTTTATTAAAAGTGAAGTTTTTGTTGGCATTTCCGGTTCAGTAAGCTTAAAACCCCGAACCTAAATTTAAATACAGCTGTCTGTAATTTTAGTATGTTTAAATATTTATAAAGCGGAGTAATGCATTTTAATTCCGGATCAGGAATAGCTGTTTATCTTAAACAATCATACGCAAACATGATCTGAATCCTGTCACACAGTCAAACGATGACTTCTGTTTCCAATGACATTTAGATTTATGGCACCGAAAGCTTTTCATATCATTTTTGGCCCGCCTTTGTACTCAAGCTCCACTTCTTTAAGATGTTTTTCTTAAATTTCTATTGAAATGTTAATTGCATTCAAGACTAAAGATCTACTCAAAACGTATTCTGGATTGCCGTGTAGATTACAAATATACTGTTTTATGATGAAACAATCCATTTCAATGTTAAATTCGTTAATGAGAAACTCCGAAACTGATATAGATCAAGCAAATATTCATCAAATCTTTCTTCAAAACTTTAATAAAATCTATATAGTTTAGCACTCTTGGTTTTTGAAATTCAATCCAGAGTTTACAAAAAGTATTTTAAGACAACATTATACCTTTGTTGACATTTTGACGTACACTCACTCGAAAGTAGTGATAATTCAAAGTAATTTACCACATATATCAGACAAAGGTGGTTGTTTTGTTTTCAAGGCGTGGTAAAGCAGGCTTTTCATTAGATATATTCAAATTTTCTCTCGTATTTATTTTGAAATATGCATGAACCGATTCATATGTTTGATTCTAAGTGTCATGAAATTAAAATAAATATTGATTTAAAGTGAAAAGGATGCTTACTTGAATTCCGTGAAATATACCGATGTTTGAGCTTTAACAAAAAATTGTTTACCTTTTTAAAAATTCAGGATAAGGTTTTCATACAAAATGTAGAATAACTGTTGTTATATTCCCTGCGTGAATGCATATAGTCGCTTCATATGGTGTTTTCAATCTGTCCGTTATTCATACTCTCACTCAATTTAATTACGTTTACAGTCGCCAAGAATAGCATTGTCATTGCCATACGTTTCATTTCGTTTTGGATTTCTCTTTTCAGCGTGTACAAACTCGGAAAAAGAAGTAATCTTATTTCTAGAAGATTCGGACTCAGAGATTGAAGAAACAGCAATTCATTTAGCTAAACAATTCTTTACAAGCACCGAAAAAAGTATCGTAAGATTGTTTTACTTTAAGAGACTGCATAGTTCAATTGAGACTGACATTACAGATATATTGTTGGAAATCAGAGAAGAGCGTGTAAATTCAATTTGTGAAACTGAATGCAAGAATAGAACATTGCCAACAGATTTGATAAAAAGTCTACAATTTTCTAAATCAGAAAAAAGAGCTATTATTATGCTTGAGAATAGTGATGAATCGTCCATTGTTGATAAGTTAGCATTGTCAAATCTCACAGAACCAGATTTTACAATATATCGAGTGATAAAAGATTTCAGTTTGTCACTTTATAAAACTGATAGATACAAATTTGTGAAAGATATACACATAAGTACATGGACTTCGCTGTTTTTGACTGGATTTAGGCGTTTTCCAGAAATATGTACAGGTGGGTATAAGAGATTAAATATGCATTGAAGTAAATACATTAAAATTTATCTTTAATTATTTAGAGAAGACGTGTGATATTCATGAACTGCAATGTTATTAACTTTGACATGTCTGCTGCACACATTTCATGATATTCTCCAAAATATACTTTGGTGATAGAAATGCCAGGTAAATTAGTTTAAACAACTTTATTTTGATATTCTGTATGGTATTCGTGTTTGATTCTTAAGTAGTGTCGTAAGTGTAACAATTTTTGGCAAACTTAGAGAGCGACGGAAGTAATGACAGCAATTCAAGTGTCGCATATATCAGTTAAGGTAACCGTTGTATGTTTTGTTATTTTCCGTATTCAATCAGTCTTTGTTTATTTTAGAGGCTTCAAACGTTTCATGTCCTGGAATGTACAGATGTTCTTCAAGTAAGCAATGTATACCACTTAAACAACTGTGTGATAAAGTCATTCACTGCAGTAATGGTGATGATGAACTCCTGTGTGATTCTGTGTGTCCTCTGAAATGTAATTGTACTGGTGATTTTATCAACTGTAGAGCTGCCAACATATCTATATCTGATATCTCATCACTGACAATACAGGCAAGGAGTGCTGATCTAAGTAAAAATCAAGAAATAAAAGAAATATACAAAGACAATTTACGTTTTCCTTTCATGTTACGACTTAATATTTCGTCGTGTGACATTCACCATATTGATAAACAAGCTTTCTATGAAATGCAAAATCTCTTATCACTGGATCTAAGTAGTAACAGAATACGAGAGTTATCGGATAAGGTATTTAGTAGGCTTGGTCGTTTAACCTACTTGAATCTAGAAAGCAACTTTGAATTGGAAAAGATTTCATCTACAGCGTTTAAAGATTTAAAAGCATTAAGAAACATAAGAATTTCAGGCACAAACCTGAAAAAAATAAGCTCATTTACATTCTCTGGCCTACAGTTGGAAAGTTTAGATATTTCTAACAACAAAATTGAAGAAATTGAAGATAATGCCTTCAGCAAGTCGAGTGTTCATAAAATTAATTTTGAAGGAAATAATGTGATAAGATTTGGAGAATTTATGTTAAAAGACGTAACATCACTTCAAGAGCTTTATACACCTGCATTTAAGTTTTGTTGTATAGTCCGCCCACCTTCCTTTCCTGAAGAAAATTGCAAACCATTAAGGGATGAATTTTCTTCATGCGATGATCTGATGAGAAACTCTGTACTGCAAGCATTTCTGTGGATAGTTGGGGTAGCCTCATTGTGTGGAAACCTCTCGTCAATCATTTACCGCCTTGTCTTCGATCGAAAAAGGCTAAAAATAGGTTATGGCATATTTGTAACTAACCTTGCAGCAGCAGATTTCCTGATGGGAGTGTACCTTATCATAATAGCAATTGCTGACTCACTCTACAGAAACAGGTACTGATGTATACATGATTCACTTTGTAGAAACATATATTTATTTCCCTATTTATTTACCCTAAGGGTATCGATCATGATTTCGAACTATTTCACGCTGCATTAACATCTCCATCTCAACTGAGTTAACAAAATGATCTCCTTAGTATTGAAATAATTCACTTCTTGAAACTGTAGCTGACTCTCTCGACACACAAATAGAAATATAAACGATATTAACACAATTCACAAAAAGATATTTGTTTGTTAAAGGTTTTGTGTAACGTGGATTACTTAACATATACAAGATAATATTGTCCACATATGTTTCTTACATTTCATTTTGTTTAGATAGTACTTTCATTCTATATTTTCAAAGAACTTTTGTAAAAAAGAGACATCCTTGTCCATTTGTTTCCTTAGATATTTCAAGTATTCTTACGTTTTTTAAAGCAGCATACCTCCAGATTCATGTTTATTTTTATGAAAATTTTGGAAATGTATTTTAAAGTGAAATAGTGTAAGGTGAAAAAATAAAGTAATTTACATGTTGCAATCGGCACTTACGGTCTTAGAAAATGACCAAAAATCGACATTTGCAAAAAAGACCTTACTGCGTTAGTAACGCAGTACAAATATGGTAATTAAATATTGAAAAATCATTCTTAAACCGCATATAACATGAAAAATATAACTTGGATGTTATTACCTTTCTTAAATTTTTAGTACATTTTTCTCAATATTGATTTTCTTGAAATATTTCAGCTCATCTGGAGGTGTGCAGCTTTAAGAATGTTAAGAAATGACATTTTCTGATATCCCTCCATTTAAAGAACAAATCAGTAATAGATTTTAGAACTTTTATTATCTCGTCATGTCAAGTGATACTGATAAGAATGAAATATAAGGGAGCAAACATGATGTTAATAAATTTCATTCTAAAAGTGTATTGTTTAATAATAAGATACGGTTTATTTTCAGATACATTGCTATGGATGATCAATGGAGAAACAGTAATTGGTGTATTACTGCCGGCGTTTTATCTACAGTGTCATCTGAAGCCAGCGTTTTATTTCTTTGCCTGATCACATTAGATAGACTTTTGGTGATCAAGTTTCCATTTGGAACAGTTAGGTTTGGTCCTTTGAAGGCGTACATTTGCTGCGGAATATGCTGGTTTATTTCGATTATCCTATCGATCATTCCCATTATTTACACAAGTCACTTCCATGACAAATTTTACTCCAAAACAGGGGTATGTATTGCATTGCCTTTAACACGCGACAGACCTCCAGGATGGATATATTCTATGTCAATTTTCGTTGGTTTGAATTTCTGCACTTTTATTCTGGTTGCTATAGGACAAATCTCCATATTCACAGAACTTCGGCGAGCAGGGTCAGTTATGAAGAAAACACAGCAATCCAGAAAACGTGATTTGAAAGTGGCTAGAAATCTTATCCTCGTTGCAACAACCGATTTTCTGTGTTGGTTTCCAATTGGAGTGATGGGTAAATATGTCGTTTTAACCATAGATTATTAAACATTTATTATGCTCTTCGAAAGGAGAACATAGTCGCCGCCTTGGTGGTCTGTCTGTCCGATCGTCCAAATCACTCTTGTCCAGAGAACAAGTTTTTGGAAGGGATTATATTTAAACGGTGGGAGAGAGGGGGAATTGAGGGGAGGGGGGAGGAAAGAGGGGAAAATAAGGAAAATATCAAATAAAAGGCTATTAGTGTAAACTACTTTCAAATTGGCTTTCGTCTCTGCTGTTTAGTAAAAAACATATTTTAAAACAGAGTTTTGGGTTGGTGGAAGGCTCCATACATTGCAATTTTACCAAATGCCCGGTCTAGTCTTAATAGAAATGAGATGGCTAAGAAAAAGAAAATTAATGTTCTGAATTATATTGAAAGACTAAATTATCATACTTCTCCCATGTCTTTTCAAAAACCTCATTCTTTGAAGTTTGTTTTGCAGTATATTTTCAATCTTATAGTTGGCTACTATTTGATTCTTAAAAATATTTCTAGGTAAGGCCTTATTTTCTTAATTCTGCTGTAATATATATATTTGACTTTTTGCAATCAAATTTATTTTGTTAAACACAATATCAAGTTTTATACTGCCAAATAAGATATCTGTTGCCAGCCAATTAGGGAAATCAATATTACATTTCTCTTTAACATAATTTTTAACTTGTAACCAGAATTGTTTTATTTTTGGGCAATCACAAAACAGGTGGAACAAAGTTTCTGATTCATTTTGACAAAATGTACAGGTATCATCATCAATAATATTCATTTTTTAAGTAAATAGTTTGTTGCAAGGATTCGATGGTTGATTCTAAATTGTAACCATAGGATTTTTTTGATCTTTGGTATATCTATGAACCATATCAAATATTGAATTATTTTGAAAAAGAGAAAGGTCCGAAAAAGCCGTCAAATTATCTTTCCATTTTTGTAAAGAGTTTGGATACTGGTTTATATTTTGCATTGCTTTATAGATAGATCTACAACCTTTTTATCTTTATCTAAAAGTATCAGGCTATGAGGAATGTGGATAAAATAGTTGAACTTCTGGGGCAAATGTAAAATATTATTAACTTCAATGTATTTTTATGGCATTTACAATACCCCTATATTCTAAAAAAATACTACTAATATTGCAGTAAACTCATCAAAGAATAAAATTCACCATCTTGATTGAGGAGGTCTCCTAAAAACAAGATTCCTCTTGAAATCCATCTTTGTCAATACACACTTGAGTTACCAACTTTAATTCCTGGGTTTTTCCATATATGAACGTATAATCAAATATAAAAAAGCATTTAATACAAAAACTAAGTAATGTTTCAGTGTAATATCATAACGGTTAATAGTTATGACTTTAAACACCAGACAGAGTCATTTTTACTTCAAGGAATACTTCATAATTAAGCAAGAAAGAGTTCTGATTGTGGCACACCGCACTATCTCTCATAGGGTCTATCATAGTTTTAAGCAAATTGTAGCTCTGTTTTGTGTTTTATGTTTATACAGTGTAAGAAACAGTAATGATTAGTTTAAATGACTATCACACAGTACATTTTTGCTCTTTACAATTAAATATTTAAGTTGTCTTGAGTAGATTGTACTCCTTGTAAATCAAAGAGACATTCAAGTTAAAAGTGATTGTCATGATTTTACAAAAACACACACTGACCAATTGTTGTTCATCATAAAAAATAGCTGTTAAAGTTATATCTAAGTACATGGATTTTATATGACAGTTCTATCTTAATGCACGTAGTTGCAAAAGGGTTGAAATTCCTTTTGACCTACTTAGTATCTTATAAATTTTCAGGTAAATATTGTATGAAAGATTTTACATTTACTTGAGGAAAGTAAATCATGGTATTTTTTTGGGTAAAGTTTTTTTTAAGTGATATTATGTGTACAAAGTGACATCACCAATTTTGAAATACACACTTTTCATTTGTTTTAATAATAGGAAAACAAATGTGTTAAAACTAAAAAGATTACATGTTTCATTCCTATTGAACATGGTAGCAGAATGATAAGATTCTTTTGAGATCATCTCAGTCTTTTGTAAAGACTCAGTTAATTGTTGTATAAGATTTTTTTTATCTTTTTTAAGAAAAAAAAACAGTAGGTAAATATTTGGGTAAATGTAACAATTTTCCTTTAACATAAATTATGTTTCAAACATTTTTGTGACATTGAATAAAAAAGAATACTACTTTAATTTTGCTGAAAATATTTTTTGTTCCAAAAAATATTAGAATGTCAAAGGGAAGCAACTCTCAAGAGGATAAGTTGAAACAAAAAAATTAGTAATCTTTTTCAAAATGAAGTATTTTGACAAAACTTTTACTTTACTTTATGTTTTAGAGAGTCTTCGGAAAATGTTTGCTTTAGGATTATTTCTGTATAAATTTGTTTGTATTTCTCTTCTATGTTATAACAAGAGGGCCATGATGGCCCTGAGGTCGCTCACCTGTATATAGCCCCCCCCCCCGGGCCAATTTTTACCCAAGGGCTTTTATTTGTTTATTTGAACAGACTTGGTAGACAACCATAAAAAGATGTTTCATGCTAAACATCTAAGTTCTAGCTCATTGGGTTTTTTAAAAGAAGATTTTTTAAGTTTTTACTATACACATATAGTTAAAAACAATGACACCCCTGGGGCAGGGGCAGTTTTGACCCCCGGGCTTTTTTTTTAACAAACTTTGTAGATTTTTACTTAAAGATGTTTCATGCTTAATATCTAAACTCTAGCTATTTGGGTTTTTTCAAAGAAAATTTTTAAGTTTTTGCTATACACATAAATTATAAGGAAAATCAATGACCCCCGGGGCGGGGCCAGTTTTGATCCCAAGGCTTTTATTTGAACAATCTTGGTAGACACCCATTAGAACATGTTTCATGCTAAATATCTTAGCTCTAGCTCTTTGGGTTCTTTAAAAGAAGATTTTTTAAGTTTTTACTATATGCATATAGGGAAAATCAATGACCCCCTGGGGCGGGGCCAATTTTGACCTCAGGGCTTTTATTTGAACAAACTTGGTAGACACTCACTAGAAGATGTTTCATGCCAAATATCTTAGCTCTAGCTCTTTGGGTTCTCTAAAAGAAGCTTTTTTAAGTTTTTACTATATGCATATAGGGAAAATCAATGACCCCCTGGGGCGGGGCAAATTTTGACCCCAGGGCTTTTATTTGAACAAACTTGGTAGACATTCACTAGAAGATGTTTCATGCCAAATATCTTAGCTCTAGCTCTTACAGTTCTTTAAAAGAAGATTTTTTAAGTTTTTACTATATGCATATAGGGAAAATCCATGACCCCCCGGGGCGGGGCCAATTTTGACCCCAGGGCTTTTATTTGAACAAACTTGGTAGACATTCACTAGAAGATGTTTCATGCCAAATATCTAAGCTCTAGCTCTTACAGTTCTTTAAAAGAAGATTTTTTAAGTTTTTACAATATGCATATAGGGAAAATCAATGACCCCCCGGGGCGGGGCCAATTTTGACCCCAGGGCTTTTATTTGAACAAACTTGGTAGACACTCACTAGAAGATGTTTCATGCCAGATATCTTAGCTCTAGCTCTTTGGGTTCTTTAAAAGAAATTTTTTTAAGTTTTTACTATATGCATATAGGGAAAATCAAAGACCCCCTGGGGCAGGGCCAATTTTAATCCCAGGGCTTTTATTTCAACAAACATGGTAGACACTCACTAGAAGATGTTTCATGCCAAATATCTTAGCTCTAGCTCTTTGGGTTCTTTAAAAGAAGATTTTTAAGTTTTTACTTTATGCATATAGGGGAAATCAATGACCCCCTGGGGCGGGGCCAATTTTGACCACAGGGCTTTTATTTGAACAAACTTGGTAGACACTCATTAGAAGATGTTTCATGCCAAATATCTAAGCTCTAGCTCTTAGGGTTGTTTAAAAGAAGATATATAAAGATTTTTCTTTCGGTTGGCAACCAGAGTTCTGCATGGAATTAAATTCTTTGAACAATTTTTAAAGGTGACCACCAAAGGAACATTCCTGTGAAGTTTGGATGAAATTGGCTCAGTGGTTTATGAGGAGATGTCATTTAAAGCAAAAGTTTACGGACGGACGAACGCCGGACGAAAAGCGATCACAAAAGCTCACCCTGTCACTTTGTGACAGGTGAGCTAAAAACAGAAACCCCATGAACGTAATACAAATTCTAAATGACACTTCTATACCAGTCATGATGAAGTGTATAAATCTATATGCTAAGAGTTTTTGAAAGGGGCAGTGGGGATGGTTCTCCGACCCTACTCTACAAATTGACGGGGATCAATACTAGTAAACGGGCAAAACTTGTTTTTGCTGAAATTACAAAAAAATATTGGATTATACTTGTCCGGAAAATAACTTGAAACATATTTGAAATAGTTAATTAAAACGTCTAACTGTGATAGAGATGAGCTTAAGGAATTGCAGTTTCCAAAGCAATAATAACACTTACCTTTTTAAAGATTATCTCCCTTTATGATACTTTGAACATTTAAAAATCCTTTTTAGGAGTAAAACTTGTCAGACGAGTATGCCACAGCTTCAATTTTTTTTCGGTTTGGGCATTCTTTAAGGATTTCGTATTTTTCTATTCTAAACTGTCAATAATATCTTATTTAATTCTGACACGGTCAAAGAAAATAGCTGAAAAGTGCAGTGTTGCAGAACTCTTCATAGCTTAATTTTTAATTATTTATCTTTGAAAACATAATATCGTTTTTGCCGGTGAATAATTTGAATTGAATTTAATAATTTTACTTACACATAACACATTGATAGAGACCGGATAGAGGATGTGTGCTTTCTAAGATCAGTAATGTTACCTTGCTTTGTTTTTTAATTATCTCCCTCTATAATTCTAAACAATTCATGTCATACTTCCGGTTATACGCTTTAGCCTTTATTCTAATGAATTTTGTTTTAAGTATGTAGATACTTCGTGTAGCCCCTCTCCTTTTCCCCTTGTGTTTTCCCTTTAAAAATGCTGATGTTTTAATCGAATTCCTTCTTTTTCTGTCAGGTTAGTATCCGGACAAGCATTGTTAAGTGTTATAAAAGGAAACAATAAATAAAACTAAGTACTGTATAGTTCTGATTCTTTGACACTGCACTTTCAGTCTCTACAACTGTGTTCAGTTTCAAAATAGTAGGATTTAAAATTGAGAAATAAAATGTTGCGTTCTGCTGACGCCGTTGCTGGGCGGCATGGATGGTTACGATTTTCAGTACCCTCAATTAACAGGCTGAAACAAACGAGAGTGCAACCTTTTTATTTTTGTTTTTTTTACGCTCTTTAGGGATTACGTTTTTCTTTATTTCATTGCCAACTCTGTGTCATTTGTGTCATGTAGACTGTGGAGACCGTAAAAGTCGCCCTGTACATATCTTTAAAGATTAATAGCATTGAACATCGTTCAGTACGACATGATTGTTGTGTGTACACGTTTGTTGTATTTTTTAATTGATTTATTTGACCTTTTATCTACTTTGGTTGCTGGTTGTACTACTTGAATACTGTATAATCAGCCTTGGAATATGGCTTTTGTCATTTGTCTTTTGACGTCTTATCTGTGATTTGCAGGCTCCATAACCTATGATACCCTTTCAAAATTCCATTTTGGTTAGTTCCGCAAATTGTTTTCTCGTTTAGTGCACACGCTATCTTTTACTTTGGTATAATATGCCGCTTTACGAAAGTGTCACGTTGAAGGTTGTATGAACACATCTGCAGATGATTCTTGATTGAAAATTTCACCATTTCCATGTTTAAATATTGAATTATTCTTAAGCCGATGCTAAGAGACGTAGACGGTAATTTGCATTTTCCATTACCGTTCATGAACATGCTCCTGCACCATTTTCAATTTTGTCGTTTTAGGCGTTCTTTAGGGATTCCGTTTTTTCTCTTAAAGTTTGTAACACTCGAGGTAAGCAAAAATCATCGTTCCTGTTTCGGCGCTAAAACACCTAGATTATGTTGATGCGTCGTTAAAGAAAATAATAAAATATGTTTTTATGAAGTTATAAGACAATCTGATATCAAGGTCAAAGTAAATGGTGCTAAAATTGTTTATTATGCTTTTGCATATATAAAAGTTTTTTATTGACTAGTGTCATTCTTATTCAGTAGATAAATATTTTTAGTTGTACTTTAACATTTGGTAAATGAGATGTTGTCCTTTAGTTTACGGCCAATTTACAATATTGTTTTCATGCAGCCTTTATTAATTGACAAAGTTTTTTCATATATGGTAGGCAGATACTTTTATTGTTCTCTAACATTGTGTGAAGTTAGGTAATAATGGGGTGCAAACGATACATTTTTTACAATGCTCTATAGCCTTAATTGACATGTGCATTGAAAAAATCAAAAAAGGTGCATTTGACCACAATATTGATGCAAGGCTTTTATTGTCTCTCATATACATACTCAATCAACCCGAGTTTGCAAATTTTCATGTAATTGTTCTGAGTTAATGTTTCCGATAGATCACCTTTTCAAGATATTTACGTAAAACCCTCTAATGTTTCCAAAAAAGTACCCTATAAATTTAAAAATATGAATGTTCTATATTTGCGTACACAAATAGATACGAAAAAAAGTTTTTTATACTTTATACAAAAAAGTTTTTAAACATGGAATTTTTGTATTGTAGAAAACTAGTTATTCTTTCTGTTTTATCTGTTCAGCCAAATCTCATACAAGTATATAATTACACTTATCTCTTTTTTAGGTATTTTGTCCTTAAATGGATTTCAGATTTCCAGTGATGTTTATGCATGGACTGTCGTTTTCATATTACCAATTAACTCTGCCTGTAATCCGCTTTTGTATACAGTGACTGCAATAATTGGAAAGAAGGTAAAATAGTGTTGTTATTTTCTTCTCACGGATGTTTACATTGAGCAAAATTAAATGTACATCCAATATCATATAAAAGTGTATACGACAAAACCTTCTATGAAATTGGTGATGACACTCTTATATTTTACAATTACCATTGAAAATATGCTCCTTCAACAAAATGGATTTAAGCTCACCAAAACACAGAGTACTCAGAGTGAGCTTTTGTGAAAGCATATTTTTTGTTTTCCATCGTTTTTCTTTATATTAATTTTCTTTAAACAACATAGACTTAAAATTTGAAATATTTAAATTCAATATTTAAATTCTTCATAGAAATCTTAGATATTTGGCAAGTAACAGTATCTTGTGATCATCTACAAAACAATATGTAAAGCATTACCATAGGGTTAAAGTGATTTGTTGTGGAAATACTACTAGTAGTTATCCGTCAAAAGTCGTCCCCTCTATCATTCTAAAATAAAACGCTTTGCTTCTAAATATCCATCTCTAAATCTTTATGTCCTGGAGCTAAGATTTTTACATATATAGCATTTTGTTTGAGACATATATAAAAGTTATATGAAGTGTGATATCCCTAAGTCAATTTAAAGTCCTAAATCGGGGTTACTTAACAGTTCTACATTTCCTTTCCTCTTTGTAAAATAAACCACATGTACCTGGACTCTTTGCGTTACCCAGTAGACCTCTATAAAATTCATATGAATTAATGTCAAGTGTGTTAAAATAGCCCTGCCTAGAACTAGAGCCAATTCTTTACAATGACTTGTACAGGAAACAATCTTCTACTTTTAAACAAGAGAACCTAAAACTTAGATATTGTACATGAAGCATCACATCGGATCCTCTACAAAATTTGTTTAAATATGTCCCAGAGTTAAATTTTTCAGTGGAAAACTGCATATCCAAGAACTTGGATTTAAATGCGAATCACATTGCCACGTATACTAGTATTTTAACAAAAGGTAATTATGTTTCATATCCCTGGGTTCAAAAACGGTCCTCCTCGTCACAATAAGTTGTACAGTAAGCGAATTAAAAAAAGAATGTGCTCAGTAAAATAGTGCTTAAAACGTTTGGCATGCAGCATCATGATGATTAATGCGTATATCAAGTTTTAAAAATATGAAAAGATTTCCTATAGAATTGTCATTACCCAAATCTGTAATGAGAGTTTAATTTACTTTAACTTTAATCTTTAATCTTTTATTGTGATAAAGTCAATTATAGCTCACACGGACTAAGGTGTGGCGAATGATCAGGCTGGAAAGCTTCCCTTCCGAGGATACCCTGGACGATCTCTTATTTGTGAGCAAAGGTTTTGAAGTCGTGTCGCTGGTCTACGCTTTTGTATGATTTTTTTACCATGAACATCAACTTAAATTTGAACTATAGATCCATCATTTATATTTATAACATTCAAATGTCTAAAACCAGCATGTTTATCACCTCTACCTATCCAAAAAATACAATAAGATTGTAACATTTGTTATTCAACACCCACATAACCTCTGGTTACAGCAAATATTTTGCAAACCATGACGGCTGTAATTTTTTTACAAAGTGGTAGTTAATATATATGATTGCCAATGATAATATAACTTTTGAATTTTAGAAAGACAATATAAAAGTTAGAAGATTTTACGCCATTGTTCATGAAAATTTCCTCTTTTAACGGCCACAATTTTCAGACAACTTCTATAGCAACATGATTTGGAAGTGTACCGTTAACATAATGTTATAAACGTCCCTCCTATTTATTATGTCTGAGAGTTAAAACCTTGTCCATAATTTGATGCCGTGACTAGGTCTATTAAAGACCTTTTTATGATCTTAATCTCTTTAAGAATGAGTCTACGTTCTCCTTTTTGTAATTTTAGAGTTTCAATCCTAGTATTGATGAGCAAAGTAGAACCATGGTTCAGAAAGGTAAAAAATTGTTATCGGCTACAAGTTTATTTCTATCTCTCTATTTTCCTTTAAAATGTTCTTAACTTCTTGACTTATCAAACCTTAAAATTTGTTTGTAAGATTTATTTTCTCATAATTAGTTAATTTTTAACTGCTATCAATCTTATTATCTAAGGAGATATTTGTAATGTAAATTTGATATTGTTCATTTTGTATCCAATTCCGATGACAGGTGAACATGACGATCTGTTTGGAGAATGATTACAGTGCTTCTGAAATCACTTACAATATTTTGTAGCTTATTACATTAAATATTTGATTGACAATGTTGATGATAATAAATTTAAATTATTTAACAGTTGGTGCTTATTTTTGCCAAGTAGCTGTTACAATAATGTTTCATTCAATATTTTATTTGTTCCCTTTTCAGAAATCGGAAACGCCATTCTAGAATATCAGAAATTCGGCAAATCCATTTGCATGAAACATGAACATGTACCAGCCGGAACAATGAGAAGTATCCAAGAAATCATGAATGACGAGACATGTTTGTCAGCCAGTACTGTTGCAGCAGTGTCCAAACAACTTGCCGAGTACCTTCGACTATTACATGAGTCTTTTATTGCTATAGATCAGATATGTGAGGACTAATATTTACATTGAAGTAAATAAGACAAAGGTACGTTCCAAAATAACACGTTGTGATATTTTAACTGAATAATAGGTAAACATATTATTATTATTTTGTTTTTACTTTTTATATCTATTGACATTTTTGTTTATTTATACGGATGAAAGCCGGAGAAATGTTATATAGTAAACCCAACTGAATACATAATATTCCTGCTGAAAAATAATTACCCAGTTTTAGACATTCGAAATAAGGCACAGTGGACATCCACCTTATGTGGAACTTAAATGTAAAATTGACCCATGGAAACATGCCCATTTCATACAACAATATTGACTAAGATGCAACATAAACATTATATTAATGCTTGAAGATTATTTGTTCCATTCATGTCAGTTTCCTTGACAATCCATTCGCTGGACAAATTGAAGAAAACCCTAGAAAGACTAGAACACATGATCTCTATCTTGAAATACATACGCCTTTATCACTCGTCTCTTGTGTCAAATTTTACTCTTATCTTTTATACAAAAAGTATAACTGTACCTGTTTTTGTGGCTGATTTTGTATTAAAGGAGTAAAAACCTAATGAAAAGAAATGGATTTGTTTTTGTGTGTTTTCTAGTAAATTCAACACAAACACAGTTCTTACTAAATCAAAAAAACGTTCATCTGTCAATATCACTCAACTTACAGCTGTTGCATTGGAAATAAAGATTAATCATACATAAAATATAGCCATGATTCAAGTTGCAAAGGAAATTTATGTGTTTCTTTATTTCTTTTAGACAATCTTATTTAATTAACTAAGTCTTGTCTATGTTAAGAAAGGGTTACCTTGCCTTAAAAATTGCCAAAAATAACAGGGCATGGTGTCATTATTCTAAGGGGGTCATCATTTTCTGCATGAATTTTTTCTCCTGTAGGTTCGTCGTTAAACCATGGCCGTCGCTATTAATATCATGGCCAGGGAGTCATTTCTTTTTAAGATTTACACTTGATGTCTCATTTCTATGGATTTCAGTTAACTTCGTGTAATATGTATATAATTAGTGTTTTTTGTTTTTAGCTCAGGTTATTAATAATTGTAAATCATTTTGTTAATTCCATTAGGTTAATCAAACAATTGTTTCGTTAGATGCAAACCATCAAGCTGCCGACGAAGGAGCTTTACAGGAAAATATCCGCCAATTTGGAATCCTTCTGCAAAAACTTGTTTCAAAATGTGTAAAATGTAACATGCAAAAAGATAGCAAATAAATAAAAACGCGTTTAGAGTATGTGACAGTTATACATTTAGTAATATATAGCAAAAAAAAAAGTTTAAAAAATCTGTAGCAGAAAAACTGTAATTTGGCTGTTTAATATATTTGGTGTGTAGTAACATATGAATTAAAATATTTGAATATCTCCTAAAACTTTTGGGAGACATATTGTTTTGCCTTCGACGTCTGTCCGTCCGCAATAAGAGTGTCCGTCTTTCTCAGGTCAAACTGCTGGAGGGATTTCAACTAAACTTTATAGGATTGATCAATACCATCCCTTGTTGTGTACATTGCCAGCATGTTCCGCTTCGCTGCACAAAATTCCAGCCAGAACTATAAAAAGAACAAAAAGTCAGGCTTTCGCAGGTCAAACTGCTGGCGTGATTAGTATCGTACTTAGTTGTACAAAATTGCCAGCTACACAAAATTACCACCAGAGTTAAAACTAGAAAGTCCTTGTCCGACTTTCACATGTCAAACTGCTTGTGCGATTGTAATAAACTTCACAGGAGTTATCAGTACCATACCTACTTGTGCATTTCGCCGACAGGTTCTGCTTCGCTGGCTGCACAAAATGGCCGCCAGAGCTACACATAGAAAAAATCTTGTCCAGCTTACACAGGTCAAACTTTTTGCAGGATTTCAATTAAACTTCAAATGAGTGATCAGTAATATCCCGAGTTGTACACATTGCCGGCATGTTCTGCTTTGTTGCACAAAATGGCCGCCAGAGCTATAAATAGAAAAATCCTGTCTAACTTTTAGCTGTATTTCATCAAGACTTCGCAGGAGTGTTATACTTAGTTTTGGGACACATATGCCTTTGTGACAAAAAACCTTCTTGTTTAAATTTTCAAGATATTTTCATAATGTCATTAATGTTTTATATAGCTTCATTTATTATTATTTATATGTATTATTACTATTTATATGTAATTTTTATTTTTTATTATCATTATTATATATTGACCAACTTGTATATCAAGTGATATTAAAAATAATTATGATACTTTAAATACAATTCAAAAGATGATTACCTAGTTACGGCTTACACAGGTGGCATGTGGCATATATATATATAAAACATTTCATGTTGTCTAATATTTATACCTGATGTTACATATGAAGTCTATGATACTTATGTTACTTTAATCATATTTTTATCAGTCTTACTGTATACAGTAATGTACTAATAAATTCATCAATTTTGCGCACTCATAAATTTTGTTGATGACATTTAAATCAAAATTGGTCATTTTTTAGCTGCAAATGTATTTGAATGTCCTGTTGCTTTCGGTGTTATTTTTTAGTGTTATTGTTAATGTATATGTTGTGCGGTGAAAGTTGGATAAGATGTCTGCCTGTCAACCCAGGGATGATGGAAAATAAGACCCACTCAATCGCAATCGTATTTCCTGATATTACTGCACTAGTTAAAGGAAGCATGTTGTTTCTAGGAATTAGACGCTAAATTGATTTAAGCGTTCATCACAATCGAGCTTAAATGATTTTTATGTTTAAACAAATAATCTAATAGTGACATTAATATGCATAGATGTTGTTAAATATTGAATATGTGTTATTTAAAATTAGTGTTTTTTAGATTTAAATGTTATTGGTGCTTGGGAAACATAATATTTATGACACGTGAATGTAATGGAAACAATGTCGAGGTGATATGTAACACAGTGAGCAGTAGGCTGTAAATAGAGCGTGTACATTCTTTCGCAGGTTAACATCTGCAGAAGCCCGATGACGATTTAAGGTCCGGGAAAATAATTAGTACTAGGGCTTTTGCATATGTTCATGCAAAAATATGCATTCGGGCTACTCTTGCACTATAAAATATGCCTCTGAATCGTTACTTTCGACCTGGTCGTCATGGAAGTAGGTTTGTTTTACATATGTATACATGTATAGCAACGATGAGTACCCGTGTGATTTCATCCATTGATACAATTTTACTTTTCCGTCTGTATATTCCTGCGTGCTCAGATTTTATTGAAAAATGTGTTATGTAAACAGTTCATCTTTTTTTTTAATTTTTTGTATTTTTTATATTTATTTACTGTAATATTTGAATATGTAAAATGTTTTTTCTTAAAATTCTGAGATTAGAAATAATGTTGTGCTTTTTCATGGATATTGTGCAATGTTTACATGTATGTTATTTAGTAATTTAAAAAAAGCGCTATGTACATTAAGAAAAACGTTAAGTACTAAGATATAAATGGTGTAACTGTTTTACAGCTTTAGAAATTTTTTTTAATGAACAGCTTAAATACTTTGAAAGTTATATTGCATTGTATCTATATATATAGTAATAACGATTATTCGATTAGTGTAATATTTTAGATGACTAGCAATACAATGTCAATGATACACCTACTATATGTAATAGTTTAAGTATAGTTCTGTGAGTGGATTCCAATTCATATTTATGTTTTCGTATTTTTATTCTTATTATTATTATCTTTTTTATCATTTTCTGTTGTATTATATAAAACGGAATTATTGTCAAGCAACTAATAAAGCAATAATCCACTGGCGTGCGTTATTTTGTATACATTATCATGATAAATGCATACTGAGCATAATTAAACATAAACTGTGTGTCACAAATCCAAGGTTCGAGAATTTGACAATTCGTAACTTCTGTTTAAGACCTGCAAAGACATTGGCAATGCAGGTTTAAATCTATTGACATAATGTTTTACATGAAGTTTTAAAAATGTTGTGACAATCATTGGCGAGGTTGAAATAATTAGAGAAATGTCAGGAATAATCTGAATATTAAGGAGAAATTAAAAAAAAGAACTTTGGAATGGAATAAGTGTTAATCATTAATACTTTGTTGATACATCAAGATGTATTTTATTTACTCTTAGGTTAAAACGTTTTGACATAACTGCAGTTTATCATATATTAGGTGATTGAAGCATAAGAAAAAAAAAGTCAATAAGTGGCCTCTACTATTTTCTAAGAACTCATTCACGATAATCCTCGCCTTTCCGATGTAAAAATGTAAAGTCGTGAATCAAGGGATTTGAAATAATTGGGTGCAAGGGTTGCCATATAATAACAAGTGTCGTACATAACACCAGGACCTCTACCATAGTCAATGTCAGACTCAGAGGTCAACCCTTTACATGGGTTATGTTTTCCATTTCGCAACTTCCCTATTTTTAAATAAGTTTGCACAAATATTCATCATGTTAAGGCAATTTACCATTCCTTACACCCATACTCCTACAACCAACGTTTATATCAACTTAAGACGTCAAAATTTAACATTGTCTGTATTTTCCTTGTCCAGAAAATAATGCCGAATGAGAGATTCAAATAAAACTAGAAATATAAATAGATTAAGTGAATGCAAAAGAAATATAACTTCATGTTATTTTCTTTTTAATTTTCTGAAAGGCCTTATCACTAAGCATCCGGTATATCTTAAAAAATAAGTGTGATTTCCTCTTTAAATAAAACGTCTTATTATTCTGGAAAAGACAATAACCAAACATCTAACAAAGCTTGCTAATTACATCCCAATAAAAGTCAGGATTGCTTATCCCTAGTCACAGAAAAGTTTTCAAATTGCTTTTGAATTTTGAAATTAAATCGAAATTACGATTTTAAATTTTAGTAAAATAGTTTCGTAATAAATGATATCGATAGCCCTGTTTGAGAACCTTGATATTTATGAAATATTCCGTTCGTTTAAATTGTTTACGTGGCTACAATCTTTAGAAAATCTTATTTACTGAGATACATATACCCGTAAA